GAAAACTTTGAAATAAGAAATTTAAACTGGTTTGGCCCAATAAATTACTGTTACTAATATTGTAATGTCTTTGGATAAGATAGGACACAGTTTTCTCCAAAGTGCTTTCTAAATTTAAAACCGTAACATGGAAAAGGAGCACATACCTCTCTGGGCAAGCTCAGAATCAGACAGCTCAGCCAATGGAATGCACTGCTTTACCATCTCTGCATAGTGACAGAGATTCTGTTGAGAGTGCAGAGAAATCTCATGGAAGCATTAAGGATTTGGAGGAGACTTTTCAACTGAAAAGTCATGTGAAAGGTCATGTATTTGTTTATAGTTACTGGGAGGTCTTTACTTTGATTCAGGAGAAGATACATGCTTGAATCTCCAACAACAAAAAAGATGTAATATCAGCATGTTTTGCTGATTCTTAGGAAGAAAGTATCAACCATCCTTGCGCCAAAACCCTTTCCACAAAGATAAGTGTCACTGGTAAGCATGGGCCTAACTGATTTTTCACCCACCTACATCTCCATTTAGAACTGCGTAACACACAGGAAAACAATAAAGGGTTTTTGTGGTGGGGTTGGTTTTGATCATTGTGGTAAATTAAATACATTATTAATAATGCTGATTTTAGATTTGCTTATGCCTCCCCACTTCCCAAAAACAGTTTTGTGGAAATTAATCTTCTACAATGTTGAGACGTAAGAATAGCAAATGTTTTATTCTCAATTCTACGAATGAGGAAGCAGAGCCTCCAAAAGATGAATTGACATACTTGAAATGACCCTTGTTTGTGCAGAACCAGAGTTCAGGTTGGCTTCTGGGTCAGTGTTTCTTTGATCATATGGCACTTAGGAAGTTACAAAAAGGCAAAGCGTCAGCTGACGTGAGAATCACTTAGAATCTGTCTGTGGCCCTCTGATTCAATGCTCACTGGACCAAGGTGGCCCTGAAGACACATACACAAACTTCAGACCTCAGAGACCAGCCAGGAACACCTTCTTTATTGGCCTATTTTTCTTGCCTCTCAAATAAAGATCTGACATACTTTGTTAGACAGTCATCAGCAAAGAGAAAAAGCATTTAGAAATTAAATTCTAAATGTGCTTGTAAATTATAAGTGTCCCAGTGCAGGATAATGATGTGTTATTAGGTGATACTAAGCCAGGTCTCATTCACAGCGACCACATTTACCACAGAACAATACAGGTCTGGGCCATTGTTGTAGCCACTGTGCTAATCCACTTCACATAATAACACTCTGCATTTAATAATGCTTTTTTAGTTTTCTTCCTGAAAACCCGAAAGGCATGTATTCATATTATTTCAACTGATTACAACTCCTTGTATGAGAATAAAAATTATGAAAAATGAAAAACTAGTAATTTGCTCAAGAAAACCCACACTTGCCTATTATCTCTCTGATCAGTTTCTGCTCTGTCCCATGCACTGCCTTTCCCAGACTCATACTTGGTGACTTTCTGTTCCATATGTATAATGGGAGGAACCAGAATATTGCCTTCGCCTACCAGAGAAGGACCAAAAAGGAACTTGTACCAGCACTGATGTCAGCCTTATGTGGCCACCTGGAGACAGTGATTTGGGGCCTATTGAAAACACCTGCTCAGCATGACACCTCCAAGCTGAGAGTTTCCATGAAGGGGTTGGGGATGGATGAGGACTCCCTCATTGAGATCATCTGCTCCAGGACCAACTAGGAGCCGCAGGAAATCAACAGGGTCTACAAGGAGATATACAAGACCGACCTGAAGAAGGACATTGTTTCGGACAGATCTGGGGACTTCCACAAGCTGATGGTTGCCTCACCATGGGCAGGAGAGCAGAGGATGGTTCCGTCATTGACTATGAGCAGATTGACCAAGAAGCCCAGGAGCTGTATGATGCTGGCATGAAGAGGAAGGGAACTGATGTGCCCCGCTGAATCAGCATCATGACAGAGGGCAGTGTGTGCCACCTGCAGAAAGTGTTTAAAAGGCACAAGAGTTATGGTCCTTATGACATGCTGGACAGCATCAAGAGGGAAGTCAAAGGAGACTTGGAAAGAAAAATGCTTCTCTGAACCTGGTCCAGTGTATCCAGAAAAGCAGGGCAAGGGAACTGCCTTAAGATCCTGATTAGGATCATGATCTCCCACAGGGAAGTGGGCATGTTGAAAATCAGATCTGAATTGAAGAGAAAGTACGGTAAGTCCCTGTACAACATCATCCAGCAAGACACCAAGGACGACTACCAGAAAGTGCTGTTGTACCTGTGCGGTGGCGACGACTGAAGCCTGAGGCCACGATGGTTCCAGCTTCCAGCTAACACTTCTAGAAAATCAGCTTGCTATTAACAGCCCCTGTGCCCATCCCTCTGAGAATGGCGTCAGCGTTGCCTCGCCCCTCCCCTTATTTTAGTGGCCTACATAATGCCTGACTTTCCTGGCAACTCTCCTTTTAGACAAAGAAATGAGCATTCCAAAGACTTGTGAGTGAATTCTATGATGTGAAACACTTTTGCTCTCTTGTGTACTGTGTCAAAACCAGAGAAATAAACTGAATTTTTACGTCAGAAAAAAAAAAAGAGTTCCAATCTCTCCACAAGCATGCCAGTGTTTGTTGTTTGCTGCCCTGTTAACCTTTGCTGTTGATGCTGGAGTGAGATGTTAGAGTTGTTTTGATTTGCACCTCTCGAACAGCTAGGGATTTTGAAGAAAAAAAACAACTCAGAGTGGATCAAGGACCTTGGAGTAAAACTAAAGACTATAAAATTCATCAGAGGAAAAACTAAGAACAACCCTAAAAGCCTTAATCTACAGCTTGAACAGATTTCAAGGAGAAAAAAAAACCCTACAACCAGGAGAGAATAAAAGAGATAAGGGGACTTTCTAAGAATCTAATCCCTTTGCACACCAAAAGAACTTCTCTCATAGGATTAAAAGGAAACCCACAGATTAAGGAAAAAATATTTGGCAATGGCATATCTTATGAGGGATTCATATCTAAAATTTATAGAATACTCCAGCACCTCAACAAGAAAAGTGAACAACCCAATCACAAAATGGGCACAAGATATTGATAAATACTTCATCAAAGAAGAAATTCAGACAGTCAGCAAACACATGAAGAAATATTCAAGAACCTTCCTTCTTGTCCCCACTTACTGATATATATATATGTGTGTGCTTTCATGGTTTGTCCTAGTCCATTAGTCTTTCCATTTCTACTTCACTAATTTCTTCTTTATTTTCCATGGAGATGGCAGCAATTAGCTACTGGGGGTTTTTGTTTGGTTTTGGTTTTATCTCTTTCCAATAAGTAGCTCATTCTCTCAAATTGAAGGAAGCCATCAAGTAGCTTCAAAAGATTTTAAATGTTCTCTAATATACTACCAAGGTGAGGTGACACCATGATTAAGCTCTCAGTTATTAACTGAAAGTTGGGTGGTTTGAACCTACCCACCATTCCAGAGGAGAAAGATGTGACAATCTCCTCTGTCAACATTTGAATCTTGGAAACTCTATGTAGCAGTTTTTCCCTGTCTTATAAAGTCACTATGAGTCAGAATCAAGTCTTTGGAAGTGAGATTTATATAGTGTATGAAGAATCGCACTCATTCATTGTCATTGAGTCCAAACTGACTTGTAGCTGACTCTCCATTGGTTTTCCAAGGCTGTAAATCATACAGGAGGAGATTGCCCATGTTTTCCCCATGTAGAAACTGGTAAATTCACTGTCTTTGAGTCAACAGCACAACTCTCCGTGTCTACACACTCCACTTCCAGAGTTTCTTCATGTCAAGAATATGTGATATCAAAATTGAAAAAGCAAGGGGGAAAAAAATAGTGTGATGTGATAAAGCCAGATCTCCACTGTTGTTTGAATTCTTCTTCCTATTGTTTCACTGTTGTTGGCATAAATGTGTCTTGCTTTTTATTCATTGTAGGGAGTGGTCTTGGAATGGGATCATATGACCTGTTCTAATTAAATTTTGTAGTTTAGTTTCCTCAACTACAAAATGAGTCTGACTGGCTAACTTGTCTTGGTGGTGTGATGGCTAATTTCTCTGCTGCTAACTGTAAGGTTGGTGGTTCAAATCTAGCAACAACTCTGAGGGAGAAAACACTTGGCAATCTACTCCTAAAAAGACTATAGCCTCAGAAGCCAATGGGGCAATTCTATTCTGTCCTATATTGGTATGCTTGTAGTTGAAATTTACTCACTTGCACACGACAATTTTATTTCTTTTAAAGATTGTAAAGAAATAAATAAGCCATTTATTTGAGGTAGTTAAATTGATGTTGCTAGATCCTGTCATTCTTTTTTTTTTAAGGAAATTCATCTATTTATTCAATGGAGGCAAAAGATAGCAAGCAGCAGGTAGAATATAAACTATCATTTCATATTAACAATATATGTACAGAGAGAAATCCAGAAGGATATGCACCAAAATGAATGGAATTTGTTTCTCATTCTCCTGAAATGGAGATAAAATTCTTATTCATAAAAAAAAAATTAAGGCATCCTACAATAGACAACACCCTTCAGTGTGTGAGTATGCAAATGTAGAAGCATGTGTACTGTTGTTCAAAAACAAAATGGAACAACAGCGGATCATCAGCAGAGAACATGCAGCTGTGAGTCAGCTGGACAGGAAACATGCAGGGTGAGGAAAGGGGCCACTCCCAGAACGCAGACCTCATGACGTGTGGTAACCCTGTCTCTCTCAGTTCCAGGGTCTGATAGTCCATTTCTATCTTTCTATTTCCCTCTGACTCTCCTCACAATCTCCTTGGAATCTCTCTCTCAAGTCTACCTCTCATTTTCTCGACTTTGCCTTCTCTTAATTTCCTTTTCCCAGCCTCTATCAACCTCTCCACTTCTTTCTCCTCTCCCTCCTCCCCACCCCAAGGACTGAGGAATTTTTGAAGATTTGTTACAAGGACAGCTCCAATTAGCAGCAAATGTATTTCCATTCACAAGCAGGTCCAGAGAGATGAAGTTGGGATACTAGAGAAGAGGGAATCGTATGATGTTACCTGGGGTCAAATCTGAGTTCACGAGCCTGATCAGCCATTCAATGTACTGGGAGACCCTGGTGTACACACCAATGTTGCCTACGGATGCACAACCCTCGCCCCAGCTGACAATTCCTGTCAGGTACCATGTATTCTGGTACTTGGTAGTGTGCGGGCCTCCACTGTCACCCTTGCAAGCATCTTTGGTTCCATCCAGATAGCCGGCACAGAACATGTTCTCAGTCAAAACTGGGGTGTTGGATGACTTTACTGTTTGCTCGTTGCAGTCCTGGGTCATCAGCCTGGGCACGTCTATGACCATGAGCTCCAGGGATGTGGAGCCCCTGTGAAGAAGCTGACCCCAGCCACTCACTGTGGAGAACCGGATGTAGGCCAATGTCTGCTCAGAGAAGGTTTTGTCAGGCAAACAGATAGGCACCACATAGTCGGTGAAGTTCACTGGTGTGGTCAGGCGAAGCAGGGCAATGTCATGGTCGGTCTTGCCTTTGATGTACTTGTCAGGGATCATGACTTGAGCAATTTTCCGCTCTTGTTCATGCCCATCCTTTACATCCAGGTCGTGCTCACCTAATACCACTGTTACAGTCTTCAGTTTTCTTGGGTTCAGTTTGTCAAAACAGTGGGCAGCGCTGACCACCCAGATGTCGTCAATCAGCGTCCCTCCACACAGCAGTTCTTCATTCACCAGCAGCACAGCCTGCCATGGACACTGCCCTTTGGGACACAACTTGCCACCCACAATTCGGCCTTGGGGAGTACTGTTATTTCTTTTTTCTAGAACAGGTATTTTTCCACATGGATACTCAACTGTAGCTCCTGTCATTCTTATACTCACTGTTACCATATGCTGACACATATGACGTTTCTAGTTCATATTTCAAAAATACCTTGGTATGTATATGTGTAAAAATAAACCATTTGGGAAACAGATGGGAAGGTCTTCTATAGTCAAATAATGGCCATAACAGCCACTACCTCAAATTACCACTTTCTACCAAAGAGCAAAACGGTGCTAAATTGTGGGTTTAAATAACCTACTCATGTATATTGGAAGGAGGAGTGGCATCCATTTCCGTAATAGCTTCCCTCCGGAAATCCTATGAACCTAGAGAGAAGATGAGAGACACCCAGCGTTGAGGACTCTCCTTCATAGGGTCGCTATGAGTCGCCTGTGACTCAACTGCATTTAACAACAACTCATGTGTAGAAAGAATCATCGAAAGTCAACAACAAAGTATTTGAAAATATGATACAACATGCGAGAGTCTAGAGAGCACTGTCTTGAGTGAAATTACTCAGTCACAGAAGGATCAACACTGCATAGAAACACTATTGTGAACACATGAGGATAATTGAGCAAGATATGCATAAATGTTCAAGAGTGGAAGTGGTGGGATAGAAAGGGTATAGAAGAAAGAGAAGAGGGGAAATTCACTGGGATAGCAGAGGTTAGTGTGTGGATGGGGGATGAAGGAATAGGAAAAATGTAATATATACTTAAAGAGATGGGGTGATAAGAGCCATAGATCAATAGTAATTCATAATTTAAAACAAAATGTATATGAACTATTGTCTAAAATACAATATTCATTAATGAAACATACAATATATATGAATGATTATATGCAAACCAGTTCTAAAAAGAATAACATATTAAAGTGGGAGGGAAGATATTCATGTCTCAGAAGTCTCATCCTGAGGAGGGTCAAGCCCCCTTAGCCTCTTCACTGAGCAGGTGCGTGTAGGAGGCCACCCGTTTGACCCTTTTACCTGTGATGTGAATGAGATAAAAGCTTCCATTATATTAAATACCTGAGGATCCAACCTCACTTGTTTTTAAATTTACAAATTAACTTGTTCCAGTAACTAGCTGGACAATGGCTAAAGATGATAGAAGAAGAATTGATGTCTTTGAGTTGTGGTGCTAGAGAAGAGTATTGAACATCCACGTAATGCCAAGAGAACAAACAGTTTTGTCCTGGAGAGGGTGAAACCAGTTTACTCATTGGAGTCAAGGATTTTTAAGCTCCATCTCACCTACTTTGGGCCTGTTTCTAGGAGGGACTAGTCCTTGGAGAAGGACATTGTACTTGGAAGGGTAGAGGGTCATTGCAGAAGAGGAAGACCCTGCATGAGACGGATTGACATAGTGGCTGTGGCAATGGTGTCAGGTGTATCAGAGATGGTGAGATTGGTTCAGAATAGGTTCAGAGCCATTGCTCATAGGATCACTATGAGTGGTAGTTTACTCAATGGCACATTACAACAATGACAACAAGTCTCGGTAAATGTTTGGGCGGATAGGGTTTGGATAACTTTTAAAATAATTATTAACATTTTAGAACATTGTTTTATTTTAGAACTTAAGTTTATGAAGCCATTTTAACTTGAAAGTATTAATCTTTCACTATTTTCATATACAAACAAATTTACAAATGTATATTCATATGATCATATATATTTATGTGAATCTTGTTGTCAGTCATCTATTTTTTAAACACATGTTTATCAAGTGCCTGCAATGGACAGGAATTATCTGGACACATACTGTGAGATATAAAGGCTAATAACCACCAGTCACCCATCAGTCTGTCCTATTGAGTTGGTTTGAATGGTACAGCAAGAGTGCTTCTTGGAGGCAAAGAGGGTGAAGCTTCATGTTTCATACTTTGGACATGTAGCTAGGCAAGGTTATTCCTTGGGAAAGGACGTCATGCTTGGAGTAATAGAGGGTCAGCAAGGAAGACCCTCAATGAGATGGACTGACACAGTGGCTTCAGCAATGTCTGACATGTCAGAGATGATGAGGATGGCACAGGCTAGGGCAGGGTTCAGGTCGGCTGTTTGCTATGAGGGTCTCTGTGAGTTGTACTCGACAGAACCTAACAACAACATGATGCTGGAATCTATGCCACTTGAGTTTCAAATACCAGTAAGTTCACTCATGGCAGACAGAGTTCAGTAGACCTTCTAGACTAAGATAAATTAGGAATAAAGATGTGGTAATCTACTTCTAAAAAAATGAGTCCATGATAATCCTTGAGATCACATAAGAACATTGCCAGAGCAGAACAGGACATTGTTCGACTTGCTTGCTTTGGACATGCTGTAAGGAGCATTAAATTGCTATACAAGAAGAACATGGTTGGTAATGTAGAGGGTCATCAAGGATGAGAGAGACCCTTGGTGGGATAGATTGGCACATAACCACAACCATGGACTCAAACACGCTTGCCATTGTGAGGATCACACAGGATTGTTTCATTCCCCTGGAGGTAAGGCCACTGCGAGTTGGAGCTGATTCAATAGCCTCTAACAACAACAATGAAGTCTAATAAGAGTGAACTGCTGGCATAGCTGTGCTGATGTCTATTTAGATCATTCCTGCACTGTTCTTGTTATGTACCTTCAAGTTAGAACTGTCTCAGCTGACCCTTCAGTGGGTTTTCAGAAGCTGTACACCAGATGGGAGGAGATTGACCCTCTTTCTCCTGCTGGCAAAACCCTATGTATTCATGACTCTTAGGAATCAACTCTGGAGATTTCCTTGGAATATGTTTATTTTTCATTTCCATGAAGAAAGTATTCTCTGGGATATAAACTTAGACAAGAACTTACCTAGAATTAAAATCCCTTACATAATCCCACATATATACCCAGGAGGAGAAGATGCTAGACATCATGCATGGCTAAAGAGCGGTTAAGTCCCCAGCCCTTATGCACAAGATAGACTTCCAGTATACTCCATTCCAATGTCACTGGCTGTGGGAAGGGATATGTGGACATTTCTACAGCTGTTTTGGGAATGAAAGGTCAAAAATAAATACTTGGGAAAGCGGTCTATAAGGCTCCCATAACATCAAAAGACTGCAAGGGGACAACTTGCTGTGAGTTTGCTGAAGATGAAACAAACATATGATACAGATTTTCAAGAAAATAAAGCCACTTCCTCAGAGGGAAGAGAAGCATGTGAGGGCCACATGCCTCTGGGTGGGGCTTTGTGTTTGTAAACATAGAACACTTGCAGGCTGAGTTCAGTCTCTCAGACCCTCAGCAGCATCCTGCCTCCCTGCAGAGCCCACCCATCAGGCCAGCTCATGGAGTGTGGCTGAGTTTTCTAGAGTCTGGAATCTCTACTCAAAATTATAGACCCTTAGAGGTCTATTCAGTTGTTTCCTATGCAACTAAAAGTTGGACAATGAATGAGGATAACAGATGAAGATTATATGCCATTGAATTGTAATATTGAAGAAGGGTATTGAATATACCAAGAACTGCCAATAAAAGAACAAAACTGTTTTGAAAGAATCCAACTAGAAGGCTCCATAGAGGCAAGAATGGTCAAGCTTTGTCTCACTTACTTTGGATATATTTTCAGGAGAAACTAGTCCTTGGAAGAGGACATGGAGGAAAGCAAATAGAGTGTCAGCAAAAGAGAAGAAGACCCTCAATTAGATGGATTGACAGAGTGATTGCCACTATGCACTTGAACATGTCAGAGATGATGAGGATGGCGAAGGATCAGGCAAGATTCACGTATATTGTTCACAGGCTCACTAAGAGTTGTATTTTATCTGATGGTCCATAGCAACAACATAGATCTCTTTCTTTCATTGGGACTGGCAGAGTTCCTAGAGATGCAAACAGTGAATGGGCTTAGCTGTTAACCAAAACGTTGGCGGTTTCAGTCTACCAAGAAGTACCTCAGAAGAAAGGTCAGCTTCCCTACATCCGCAAAACCAGCCATTGAAAGTCCCCAGGGAGCACAGTCCTACACTGGCATGAGTCCAACTGCTGACTGTTAGGAATCTCTTGCTCCAGGGAAATCTTTGTCTTCACTAGCATGCTTCTCAGTGTTCCATGGGTATTTCCATGTGGCATCTGTCTTCCTCTCTTTATCTCTACTTCTGGGGCTAATTTACTCTTTTATAAATCTCAAAAGTGATGGGGAAAACTCCATTTCATTTTAAATGGGATTACTTTCATGAGTATAGGGGTTAGGGTTTACAACACTTATTTGGGAGGAAGTATAGTTCATTTCATAACACCCCAAAACTCACCCACTGCCATTGAGTTGATTCTGAACCATAGTAACCCTGTAGGACAGGCAAGAGCTGCCCCAAAGTGTTTCTGAGGCTGTAAATCTTTATGGAAGGAGACTGCTTCATCTTTCTCTCGTAAAGAAACTGGTGTGTTTGAAGCACAGACCTCGAAGTTAGCAGCCAAGTGTTTTAACCACTATATCAACAGGGCTCCTACCACTCCATAAAGAAGTCCTTTAATCTCTCTGATCTATCTGTCATCTTCAAAACTAAATTTATGTACTATTTCAGGGAAAAAAAACCCACATCAGTCTTTGGACTGTGGCCATTAGAACACACATGGTATCTTATGTCCTGCTCTTGGATCTAAACTGTTTAAGTATAGTGAAGTCTCCATCTCCATCAGTCCCTGCATCTCTAAACTTTAGGGCTTTTCCTGGGATCAAGAAAGAGAAAAGCTCAACAGGCTGGCAGAGCTGGGGAGCTCTGGAGCCAAAAGTGCTAAGGAGCTGTACTGCCAAGTCAAAGGCAGCTGATTTAATTCCACTAACTGCTTTCCGGGAGGAAAACAGGTAATCTCCTGTATAATTTATTGTTGTATTTATGTGCCATTGAATCACCTGAGACTCATTACAACCTTATGTATGACAGCTCTGAACCCTACTCTATCCTGAGCCAGTCTTGCTGCCTCTGACACACCTACCCTCATTACCCCAGTTACTGTGTCAATTCATCTCCCCCAGGATGTTCCTCTTCTGCACTGTCCCTCCACCCTTACAAGCATGACATCCTTCTCCAAGGACTGGTTCCTCCTTGGCTACATTCCCAAAGTATGTGAGACAGAGGTTCAAAATCCTTGCCTTCAAGAAGTAACTTGGTTTCACCCTCTGCAAGACAGACCTGCTTGTTCTCTTGGCAGTCCATGGTAGGTTCATTACTCTGAGCATGTATCACAACGCAAAGACATCGATTCTTCTTCTATCGTGTGATTTACAGCTTTTGAAAACCTACTAGAGGGCCAGCTATTAGCAGACCTCAACCAGACTCTTAGGAGCTGGTGGATAAATATCCATGTTCCCTCAACTATGTAGTGGGCTATTCCTTGGGGAGGTTCTCTACCACTTCCCGGAGTTTCCCCATGATCTTAAGCTCCAGTCTTCCACTGTGAGTATTGACTTCCCAGTAGCCTTCACTTCCCTGAGTCAGCTCCTTGCTCTCCTGAGCTCTCCCTGCACCTTTGCAACCCTGTCTCCCTTTCTTTAATCCTTAAGTCTTCTATAGTCCCTCTCACAGACAAGCACCAAAAATCTTTAACTATATTTCTGTGCTTTGACAAACCACATTTCTTCCTAATTTTAAGAAGGACACTTTTGAAAAGGTTAATTGAGAAAGTTTTGGGTAGCTGCAAACGCTTTTAAGTCTAGAATGGGCAAAATATTCTATAGCAAATACTTGAGTTACAAAGAGAAAAAGAACTGATCTATGTAAGTTACACATTAGCAGTCACACACTGTCATTCATCCCCAAATTCACCACGTTTCCCCTCCCTTCTTACTCCCCTTCAAGACATTGATTTTGATACAATAGATATCTTTTATGTGACCTTTCTCATCAGGATCTTGATATTCCCCATCAAACTATTGGTTTGTTGATGTTATGTACCACCGAGTCAGAAACAACACAGAGCTGACCCTCCAGCAGGTTTTCAGAGGCAGTAAGTAGCACAAGAGTAGATTTCTCCTGCACAGCAGCTGGTAGATTTGAACCTCCCTTGGGTTAGCTTTGCAGCTCCTTCCCACTAAATCACGAGATCTCCCTAAAATGACTGGGTGGGATTACACAAATAAAATCTGTGTGGCCCATCAAAGGAATGGAATCACAAATAAATTGCACAGCACCCTTGGAAGGGTGGGGCCATGTAAATAAAGTACATAGAGCCTTAATGAGAGGTTTAGTCAGTTTTGCCAACCCACCTGGCTTAAAATAAGCTACCCTGGTGGCAAAAAAAGTGGGAGTTTCACTCCTACCAATTAAAAAAGAACCAGAGGTGGAGTATAGTCTTTAGCCTCAAGGTCCCTGCACTGAGAACCTCCTAGACTGAGGAGTCAGAGAAAGTTGTAACAACAGAGACTGTACAAGACGGTAGGTCAAAAACAGGAGCAGAAAAGAGACCAGCATAAGGCAGTATGGTGGGTTTCCCACCAGGTGAGCAAGGTGGTTACAGTGGGTGTGCAGACACATGGGAGGAAGGAGAGCTGAGAGCTTTCAGGCAGGAGGCTTCTTGGCAGAGTGGGGTGCCTCTGAGCACTTGATGGGACAGGACAGAGAGGTCTGAAGACCCTTATAACAGTTGACTGAGCAGGACACAAACCAGGCTTAAGGGGTCCAGGGACCAGGGACCAAGAGTGAATCCTAAGTTCAGGTATGTCTAAGAGCTGTCCTGACCAGAAAACTATATTTAGAGTCATACATGATCCTATAACTTCCCTAGTAAGCCTCATACTT